GGGGGGGGGGGGGGGAGCCGTGGGGTCAAGAATAGACACGCGGCGCTTTTCTCTTAACTTGACCCAGCTCAATAAAAATTTCGGGGAGTAGGAACAAGGATGCTAGATTTTGCAACAATAAGGTAACCAGGGTTCGGAGCATTTAAGCAATTAAATTTTGTTTGAAATCAGTGGAGAGTGAAGAGTAGAGAGTGGGCAGTTTATCGAGGAGGGAAATTTCCGTCAATTGCGCTTCAATGGGCAAGAACCAAGGAAACGCAGGTGACTTTCCAAATCTCTCATTCGTCTGGTATTAAGAAAATTTTGATTGCTGAGAGAAGCTTTCTTTCACAATTGTCTACCTTTTAGAAATCAAAATGCTACTTCTTGAACGAGTAACATTTTTGGCTGTTTACTTTTTTCTAACGCGTTAATAATGCAGTTGAAATACAAAATAATAGAATTAATTCATTATGTAAAAGAAAATGAAATAGGGTCTTAATGATAGTGCATATATATGGGATTTTCTTTCTTGGGAGATTTTAAAATCATTACGATGGAGATGGTGACGATTATATCAGTCAGTAAATATCTATTTTAAAACGAGCGAATATTCGTTTAAGGAAAATCAATGCAACTTCTTTCCATACACTGATTTATCTGACTCGTTATTAGTCGTATATCCTTTTTGTCGATATGTAAAAGGGCATTATTAAAATCTTATAGGCCCTAGTTAAATTTCCAGTTTTCAATGCAGGAAAGCAAATGAATCGTACAAAGGGAGAAGAACGTAAAGAGAGTTTCAGACTGAAGAATATTCACTGTTGCGCATTTTAAAATTCTCAATTCAAAGATCTGTTTCCTATCCATAGTCTCCAGTGCTTTTTTTCAATAGGCTGTTCGATTGCTGGGATTGGTTTCATTGATGGTGAATTAACCATAGTGAACCAGGCTCTTAACTTGCAGTTGGGTCATTGCCTGACCTCGTTGTCTTTTTAATTGGTTGAGAGTGGAATAACAGAGTCGATAATCTTAGTTAACCTTCCCCAACCAATAAATTGTAAACATACATATTAAACATTTAGGTTAATACGAATTTCAAGCATATTTAATTCACTTTTTTAAACTATTGAATTGTTTCGTTTTCGTTTGATTATGAACTCTTTAAAATGAATTTTCTTCCAAAACAAAAGTAAATCTGGTTGGCAAGAATTCGTTGAATCGAACAAGTCACTTAATTTTAAAAAGCTAACTCCACCTACCACCAAGAGCTATAGGGAAAGAATTATCAACCTAAGAGGAGTTGCCTTCTGCTGATTAATTGATTAGTTTCTCTAAATTGAAAATCCTTTATTGCCCTATTATGTTGGAAAATTTGGGCTATGTTTTATACTGAAAACTTCAAACAGCAGGAATTTCAACAAATTCATATTTAGAAATCTGTCACACTTATTTCACCTCTATAGTCATTTCGTCAGTACTAATAAGGCTGAAACTAATTACCAAAAGGGAAAGATTAAATTTTGTCAGATCTTCAAAAGAGATAAATGGAAAAAAAGCAATGAACATCTGTCAGCTCAAGCAATTTACTCCTTGAATAACCATATTTCGACATAGTTAATTTAGATGACAAATGAGGGGTTTTCATTTTCTTTGGGTATTTTATGTTGAACAGTAAAGTCAACCAGACAAGCACTATTCAAATTTTATAATTGAACCCCAAACTAAATGAATGGTTCTTGGTTATATACAATAAAATAGAATCTACAAGCCATGGTACTTAGTTTATCTAATAAGGAAATGGACACGACATTAAACAAGTGTCCAATTTACATATTTACAGCTCCGTGTCCTCAAGTCCGATCTCAAGTGGATTATCTAAGCGAATCACAATTTGACCCGAAATCCGGCCATAAAAGTTAACTTGATACGTCATGTTTTTTCTACACAAATTAATGACCTCTGTTCTCGCGAAGAGGCTGATGATGTGCTTGCCTCATGTTCGGCCATCTTAAATTGGAGAAGGAGTGGAGGGATGGTGTGAAATTTTTTTATGACATTCAAATGTAACAAGTCACACCTGCAAATTGCATAACTAATCGATTTTACAGAACGTGTTTTACCTCCTAAAACCTGTTTAATTTTAGAGAATAGCTCCCGATTAACACAAATTTTATCTTTCCCCCTTTACTATTTAGTATTGCATTAAATAGAATGTGTGCATATTAGCAAATGATAAAAAAGGAATTAATTAACTATAAAATTCTAATTGTCTCTTTTCCTTGAGGTTTTCATTAAAGCTTAGTTCTAATTTTGATTCTCAATCATGAAATGAAAATCATGTAGCTCTAAAATTGCTCCTCCTCCTCTGATTTTTTTACTTCTTTAACATTATTTTAATTTTTGAAAGAAGAATAGCTTGAACATTTGGAATCGACATTTTTCGTCTTAATTACTTGACACTATTATCCGTTAAACACGTATGCGACACACATTAAAATGATCTAATTATCTAGCTCAAAATATGGGGGGAGAAACCGATGAGTCACTAAAGCAAAAAATACGATTGACTTTGGGGTGTGCGATAGACTTACCTCCACGTGGTGCACCCTGGGCAACGTATACTCATACGGCAAAAACGTCTATTAACCGGCAGCTGACTTCCCACTTCAAACTACCATGGCCCCACTGTATGTCATATTCGACCCCTTTCACAGTACTCATCTTACCTTTTTCTCTACCTTTGTTTTTGTCTGCGTCTTTTACATCTGTGAATCGCTCTTCTGTTCCCCACCCCTCGACTTTCTTCTACTTTGATTAACCTTCTCTCTGTGAAGCCCGAAGTCAGCTAAATGGCTAATGATAGCTATCAAAACGCCTGCCATTTGAAATAAATAAATAAATACGATTGACTTCCGTTCAAATTGCAATTTCTGTATTAATTTGATTACTAAATAATTTCAATTTATAAATAAAAGTATAAGTAAGAACTGTTCATTTTGTTCTTTAAATAATGTTTGTGGTTTGTAATAAATCCCTCATATTTTTCCCACGAACCTCAAATGAATTATTTCTGTTAACATTTCTCAGTTTTAACGCTCATTCAATAAATTGTGAACTAGTAGCGAAAAGCTCTATCTATACGAAAATAAAGAAATACTAATTACACACGAGTTTTATAAGCCTTTAGTCGGTAGTATTCCACTGTTAAGTTGACTTCTGTTCCGAATATAGTTTACCGATACGGTGATTAATATAATCATATGTGGAGTCAGAGTTGGTGGATTTGCTATCCAATGATGCAAACTCGGAGAGTGGGGCGGTCAAAGGAACCAGTCAAATTTGGCTGGAAATATTAGAAACAGAATTTAAATTTCTCCTCAGAATGCGATTCATTCTTACCCAAGATTTCTTTAATAAACTAGTGACTTGGCCCCTGACTTTTAATTGTAGTACCTATTTTAGTTTTGAGCATATTACAATTACTTGTTAACATTTAAAAGTACAAACAAATATTGAAGGATGTTTTCTCCTTAGGAGACCAAACTGCCCTCTGTAATGGAATCGTAATTATTGCTTATATATGTTAGCTGACAAATTATCAGTGATTTCCTTCGTTTCTTTGAGAATTGGTAATTAGAGTAAGAAACACAAAGTTTCCTTTTAAATTTTCGTTCATCAATAGGTCGAGAAAGTAGGTATCAAGTGAAAAATTTTATGAGTTTGCCAGTGTGTTTAATAGAACTGCTTCACACATTCTTTATTCACGAAGTACATCTATACATATTTGTGTGATTTTCAAATTACAAACTCATGTGTGTCACACTGTCTGATCCTCTAAAACAACTGCTTAGTGTCTCTAGCGAGGTACAAACAATTGCACATAAGTTTTAGACCATCATGATTTGCACCAATTGTTACATCAACGGTTATGATTTACATTGTGTCTAAAAGTCACCTCAGAAAAATGGTACATTGTTACTGGCTCGCTGTTCCGCTCGCAGTTTCTATTGGCTACGCATAAAAAGCGTATAACCAATAGTCATCAAGTGTGACCTTCGTGCGTATGTGCATGTTACGCTCTTATGCGAAACGTAGCGTGTGCGTGGTGCGTCCATATAACTGGTAACGCGCTCAGTTAACTGGCCAATGGGCCTACTGGTGGAACCATTTGCTCAATTTCTTTCTGGGTTATATAATGCCCTCCATTTTAGGGACGCGCGCATGTAAATTGTGCCGTTTGGAAGAAGGTGACCAATTCAGTTGTTTCTTTGAGGTAATCTATTTGTTCTATCTCCTATTATAATATTAGTTTGTCAATCAAGATGGAACACGGTCAAAGTAAGCTAACCGAATATTCTATATCTTCACTTATTGGTAATGATAACCGTCAGTCACCATCAACGCCTACTACACCATTGACATCTCCCATTTACAATGCTTTTTGGAGCTGCCAATTTCTGGCTGGATTAGCCCAAAAGTATCTGAATGACATACAGAACAGTTCAAATCCCACTTGTCTCCAAAATCAGTTCACCCAATCTTCTTATTTTCCCTCACCACTTTCTTCCTCCTTTCCTCCCCTTGGAAGTAGTAATAATGTAGCCTGGTATCTACAAACTGTGCTTGCAAATGCCTCGAAATTGGCCGATTTGCCACATCCTTCACTTCTTGACTCTGGTATTCTGAATCCAGCAGCGTATCGAAAGATTATGAGTCAGGTTTTGAATATTCAACCGCCGCCGCCGCCACCACCACCACCACCTCAACCTCCACTACCCCCTCAAAGACAATCATCTCCGCAGAATCTCTCCGCCAGATCCAAGAATGTTGATAATCTCCCAACTACTATATCTACACCTAAGCAGTCACCATCACAGACAAACTCTTCAGAACACGGGTCATCGATTGTTTTTGAAGGTACGGAAATATTTACCAGTTTTAATTATATCCTTTAAATAAATATGAATAAAAAATGCATTATCATTAATATCATTACTTGCAAAGCAAAAATGTTCGTGGAGTTTTAATTTTTGAAAAAACACCCATGTAAGAAGATGAGAGAATAAATACAATAAGGCATGAAATGTTGATGATACAATTATAATACCACGAGTTATACTTAATTTGCTTCCTTCAAACTATACCAAACACGATTTCCTCTTATCCACAGAGTTGATACACTTTTTTATATTCGAGAGCACGAAAGTTTAGAAAACTCATCTCTGCCTCCTAATGTCTAAGATGAGCTGACAGCCTTCTCAAATCAGGGCACCATAGGTAGAAATAGGAATGAATGAATAGTAAAATGACGGTTCATTAGATGAATCTACTAATATCAGAACAAAGTCAAATCAGTGAATTATATGCAGAGTAACTCTGGAACTAACCGCGCTCAGTTGAATTCGACATTAGCCAATATGATCTTACATGTTGGCACTACTGAGTGTTATACTTTACGTTGCACTGAATCAAAATTGAAATTTGTTCACGATCACTGTTTAGTTGAGGAAGAGAACAAATTTCACATTTTGGTGTTTGCCCAAGTTGAGAGTGGCATTTTTTTCAACTTTGAAACATTTCAAATCGTTGGAGTTCACTATCATTTACAGAACGGTGATAATGCAAAAAACCTTTTCTTTTACCATATTGAGCTATTTTTTGGCGGTAATCCAAAATACTGAATAGTAATAATTGTAGCGCAGCAAAGCGAGATGTTGTTGTCGATATTCTTCTGCAATCGCCTCATTTCCAGTCAGTGTATATAGGTAGAAGTGTATGATAAATGCGCGTGCACATGTGATTTTGCGTTGATATTTATGAGAGAAAATTAAACAAACACCCTCTCGCGGGCTCTCTATGTTAGTTAAATTGACTTTGATCAGCCGGTTATGTAACAAAGTAATCGTGTTCGCTTCTTTTAGGACAAGGACGTATAAACCAACTCGGCGGTATGTTCATCAACGGTCGACCTCTGCCATACAAGACACGTTTGAGAATAGTTCAGATGTCACGAAATGGAGTTCGACCTTGTGATATCTCACGTCAACTGAAGGTGTCCCATGGATGTGTCAGCAAGATCCTCCAGCGTTTCCACGAGACAGGTAAAATCATTTGCAAGCATCAATAACGAAATGTTGACTTTTCCTTAGGTGCAAATTTGTCTTCTTTATTCTAGGAAGTGTAAGCCCAGGTGCCACAGGTGGAGCTCGAAAAAATCGTATTCACAGCCAGACACGATCTCATTTGAATGTACCAACTAATCCCAGCCATTCCTACTCCCACCACCACCAACAATATCTATTCTCATCATCCTCCACTAAAGAACTACCTCAAAATTTATCGAGTAAACCTCACATGGGTAAGATGCCATTTGAATATCCCAACTGGAATGAATCCTGGTCATCATTTGGAAGTTCGACAACGTTGCCCACCTTCCCTCGTCATGACATGGATTCCGCTTTTACCCAACAAAGAGACACGCAGCATCCACGACTCAAGTTTTCCGCTTCAATGTTGGCTGATCAGAAGAGTGGTGATGCAGATTCCAAATGCGATAAAACTGTTCCCAATCCCTAAGAACACTTAGAATTTTAGTCACTTTTCTTTCATAAATAAGTACTTCTAACTGGTTTTAGCGCTGATAAATCGACGATTGACATGGCTTGCTTTGGTATTTATAAAACCATCGTATATGTCAATCATTTATCATCCAATAAAAATGGAGTATTCCTATTCTTATAACACATGGTGTTTTTTCTGCTCAAAATAAAGTGGTAGATCGTTCTGCTGTCTCCTTTGTGGAAGCAAAACGAATAAAACTGTCAATACTAAGCTTCATAAATGGTGAAAATGAGCTTAATTTCAAGGAAAATGAATCATGATTCTTGAATTTTGGAAAGTGAATTACCATAAATTATTTACATGTGGTAGATTTGAAGTACAACCTTTATCAAAATGTTGGAAAACACTTTCCTAAAGTGACATTTTGCTTGAAGAGTATACGTTTTAGTAGATGAGCAAGCCGGAAATACATCTTTTGCGCCAAAAGTTGTGAAAGCCCAAAGAGGAATTCGGTCCATGCAATGAGTGTGGCATTCGTCTCCCCTATTTTAGAGAATTAATGTCCCCTTCCCACCATTCCCTTCTCGAATTAAAGTCGAATTCGTTTTGGTTTATGAGAAATCATATGCCTAGGGCATGGAAATATATCCCGGAAAACATAGGGTGCATGAGGTCTTGAATTCTCTCATGGTTATGGTCTTCATTGTGTGGAGTGAGTGAACGACAGCCAAACCCCTGATAGACAATTAGCCAAGGCAATTCATGTGCGGCCATAACCGATCAATCATTCGGCTATAGAAGGAAGAATACCAATTAATTGGCACCATTCAGAAAAATAAGGGTGATAACACGAAGATTGCGCTTGAAACAATGAGAACTTTCGAAATTAATTCTCAATCTCCTGAGAGAAAGTGAACAAGACAAAAATTGCTGCAACGCAGCCTGCCTTTCACATTCCGTCTCTGTGTAATCCTTACCGAGCTACTTAACTGTTTCGAGCGGTTGAAAATTAACCTTTGATTATCATAACAATGTGGATATTTTATTGAATTAAATGTCCACAAACTGTTCAGCTCCAAGTGGAACAGAAAAAATAGGTGACAAGACCTTATTTAATTACCTTCCAATTAATATCTGACAACGTCTGACAATTCTGCCAATTTAAGTACCCTCTATGGCTGGAAAAGGCAATTATTTCGACTCATTTTAATTATAATAATGAAAATTAATCGTCTCCACAGTAAATGAAGAGGGCAAATTTCGAGGTGACACAAAATGGAGACGTGAGGAGAAAAGAATGATATTTGGGACGTAATCATAGTTGGCAATTTCTGACCTCTCATTACCTTCCTGCATTTCCACCAACAGGAAAGAAAGGAGTGTGTGCCCAGAAAAGAACGGTAGAAAAATCACGTTCCTATTTGCACACATCCACAAACGCACTTCGAAGTTAGGAAGAAGCGAGAAAAGGAGGATGAAGACACAGAGGGAGTGTTTCGTGCTTGCATATTGATACACACACGGCCTTCTGACACGCCGGGATGTGTCTGATGTGGGGAATGGTTTGTTACATCACACGCAGACATGAACATGCAAGCATGCAGTCCGCGGTCTTTGACATCCCCTCTCCCCCCCTTCCCTCACCCCCCCCCCGCCCCCCACCAAATTGAATCCGTACACCTAAATCGCAACTTTGTTCGAGAGAGTTTTGCGCAAGCGCGGTTATGCGTGCTTGTCAAAACTGACATTACGTGGACGAAAGGATTGGTTGCATTACGTTCGAGGATGAACGACCGTGTGATCGTACACTCCCCCCTCCGGGCCCCCGTATGTCCATTGTGTGTGCGTGCGTGGAAAGGTTCCCCTCCTATCCTGAGCGCAACAAACATCTTTGATGGAACG